TTCCACCCATTGCTTCTTGTTCTATCCTCAGGTGCCTTGGAGAATAGTTTGACTCCCTCTTCTTTGTGGCAACCCCTGAGATATTGGAACACTGCCATCATGTCCCAACAGAAGGTCTGTCCATCATGGATGAGATAGATCTTCTTTGAGGAAGACACCCTGAAGCCATGTTTGTTTTGAATTCTGTGCTATATTTTCTGCCAGTTGGGAACTGGAAATAGGGAGCAATCAGTTGCTCCAAAACCCACTGAAAAATTGTTCTGACCCAGGCTTCCTTAGAAAGCAAGAAGCAGAGTCTTGGTCCTGGCAAAACCCCATTTATTTACAAAACTGTGAATTCCTTTCATTCACAGTCAGCAAGGCTTAGCAAACAGTCTTTCAGAGGAATGTTTATCAACACGAACCTTATCTTGTTTGGAGAGCTGTCAAATAACTAGTTTCCAAATGCAGGGCAAGGCAAAATTTGGCACAGAGTCTCTTATAGTCACAAACAGAACTTCCCACTCTTGAAATAACCGAAAAAATGAATTATTTCCTGCAAAAAAACCCTCCCCGTTTGCTCCTCTTTTGTTTCCTATGGGAGGGGCCAATCACCTCCAAGGTGTGGTTTTCTCCTAAGTCAACCCTGCTTTCTTAGTTTTTCTTGTCTTCCGGCAGCTCTGCGCAAGCACATACTGGGAACAGGGTCCAGCTGTTCCTCTGCCTCACTGCTGTCTAGCTCCCTCTCTGCCTCTGATGCAGAGCCCTTGTCTGAACTTTCCTCAGCCCCCAGGACTGGCCAATGTTCCTCCCCAACCTCGCCACCGTCCGACTCTGCTCCCAGCTCCACTGGCCACCAGCAGGCCAGAACAAAAATGTAAATAAATAGGGAGAATCACAGTGACATACTGTACAGATAGGGCTTGTTCATCAGTCCATAATATGAAGCTCAAAGCTGAGAAAAACGTCGATCCACCTTTGATCTCAAGATGGTGCCTCTAAAATCTTGATGGATTAATTTCTCAGCAAATCATGGCTGTTACAAGTGCATTGTGACATTGTGAATGCTCAGTACTGCACTGAATACAGCTGCCCCATGTTATAAATAGAAAGAGGGTTACATTAGCATTCATTTACTGCACGGGATGATATTAAGAACTGGAGGGTCAATGCTGAAAACAGAAGCCTTTTAATCAATTGTCAAATATAATTACAGTGCAGAGAACGACACAAAACTTAGGATTTACAGTGAAAGGACACCATATCTAATCCTCTCCTTGAAACTGATTATCAATGCATTATTATTATTACCTGCAGATTGTTTATTATTATGAAAATATCTATCATGTATTTCGATAGTGTGCGTCTTGCAAACATCTCAAGAAGAAGCAAGAATTTCAATGTTTCCTGGGTTTTGGCCTCTTTCGCGGCTGAAAAGAGCGACGCGCCTCGCCTGGCCACCAGACCGCTTCGTTCGCGGCCGAAAAGAGTGAGCGAAGCGCCTGGCCTGGCCAGGAGCCAGGCTTCATTCGCAGCCAAAAAGAGCGAGCAATGCGCCTCAATGGGCTGCTTCTTCATGGACTGGCCACACATGCGCTTAAATAGGGCCACATTTTGGGGGTAGGGCTTAATTTTAACGCATGCACATAGAACAGTGCTGAGCCCTCTTTGTGGGGTGGGTCATATTTTAGGAGAAACGCAGTATGGATTCAGCCACTGCAGTGGTGGGTATCAAAAATTGTTTGAACCTACTCTGTGGGTGTGGCCTCCTTTGTGGGAGTGGCTT